AGTCTGATAGAAACGAATAGAATAGACAAATGTAAGTTAAATCGTATGAATATAATTATCTTTTTTCTGCCATGTTCTTTTGAGAATTATTCTAAGATATTTGGACCACAGAGAGATTCTAAGAAATTAAAATAAAGAAATTTGGAAAAGAATGATTTTATTAAAGTATCTAAAAATTTAAATAGACGGATTTGAAAATAATTTTATTGGACTAACAAAATAATTATGTAAGACGCTCAAATTGGTTGCTGAAATATTCAAAATTTTTTTGCAGTAAGTATTACTCATTATATTTGAGTTTTTCTTACATAATTATTTCGATGATTGAATAAAATTATTTTCAGATTTATATCTACCTAAATTTTTAGGTAATTTTTTTTTTCTACGCATGTTTGACTCAAACAGCGAATTTATATAAAAAAATCCAGCCAATAGTTTCCGATCGTGTGCAAACTTTTATCGATTGTTAGACTGTAGGTTTCGCAGATTCTTCATAAATTAAATTGAACAACAATATTGTGACAAGCCATACGATATATATAGCAATCAGTTAACTATAGTTCCACTACGTGGAACTGCATCTCGTACAGAAATTTAGCACGACAATGGCGGGATTAGTTCCAGCAGATCGTAGGACTTCCATTGTTCAGATTCAGTCGAACCCATCTCCGTCAGTACATTCCGGATTGTCCTGACAGTCAGACGATCCATCAGCTAATCAGTTCGCTTGGTGTGTTTCTTGGAGTGTACCGTTTTACATGCGGGTCGGTGTCTATGCGGGTGAGGTCACCTTTATTCGTAAGTGCTAGTTTGTCATTACGTTAACTTTTCAGAAAGTTATCTAATGAGAAATTCATTTGGATAATTAATCTTATTTAATATTAATTTCTCTCAAGTATTCCAAGATTATACTCGCATACTATATACAATATCAGGCATTAAAAACAAGAAGAGAATAAGATTGAATTTTCTGTAAACGTTTACAAATTAATGATTGCTTCTGCAGCAGTGAAACATTCGACGTAAAGAACTCTTTTGTGATTTTCATTATTAAACTTTCTTGTAATTAAGTTTGAAATATTTCTGTTAGGATAAGTTCGTTACGAAAATTAATTAAAGAGTTTTATTATATTCATTTATATACATTTGAAATTTGATTCTTTTCAATTTACTCAGTTCTAACTTTATTAGTATCGATATTGATTTTAAGTTTTAAATAATTGGCATCAATCAAATTTTTATTGAGAAAGTTTGCATTGAAGAGAACATAAAAATACCGACTTTTTTAAAGACATTCTATTATTAGTTTGTTCGATATAGGCGACGTGACGTAAAGCTTGACTGTACAGAAAATAAAAATACTTTTTGAAATTGATTCCCGAAAAGACGTACGTCTCCCTAATATTCTTAATAAAATTGTTTACATAAATTTAATTTATAATTTGGGCCTCAAGCCGAGAAACAGAATTTAGGCAGACGCTGCAAAAGTTAGGCGAGCATTTTCATATCTCTGCGTAATGCGGAATGTGTCACGAAAATATGGAGATTTATATACATAGCATAAAGTACACGTATTTCTCGAGAATTTGTCCTGAATGTGATTGCTGTGGATCTAATTTTTCTCTCGTGGAACATGATTTTCTTATAAATGATAAGAAAAGTTTGATATTTTCTGTAGAAAAACTGCAGAACAAAGTCTTATATATTATATATAAGCAAATTATTTTTATTAAAAATTAATGTATTTATTAGCAACAATAAAAATGTTTAATATAAAATTTAGTAAAATTAAAATATTGAAATGTAAGTTAATGATACATTCGTGTTTGAAATAAAAAAAATAATCAAAGGCCTTACGGCGTTTGGGAAACTTTGCATTTCATGAATTTACTTCTCAAGGGAGGTTTTAAATCGAGTTTAAATTTTATGTCTTCTAATTGTACGTTCTGCAGAGATTCTTCTTCCTTAATTATATCACGGAATTGTTCCAGCGCGCTCGTTAGTACATCGAAGTTCTCAGCGACAGAGTTGTCTGTCGCCGTGACTTTCGCTATCGAGCAGCTTGACGGTACAACTTCCGGAAACGACGCTTCTTTCATACCCTCATATTTCATTGGCGCTCTCCAGACCAACATCGTCGCCTACTTCCGGTAACTACGGCCGACCGTACCGGGCCATATTTTAAGCAAAACTTAATATAGTCGATTTATTGTCATCTCGAAAGATCGTTTATGCGAATTTGCAGCTCGTGCTCAGCGTACGATTTGCATTCTATCTCTGGACCAATAAAAATCACGTTCGCGTTGAATTATGAAGCAGAGATAGATATTTATGTGAATTAGAATTTTTAGTCTTCTGATAGGATGGAGCACACAAATCGTAAAATTAATTTTAAAATATTATTCATTTATTTACATATTTGATAATAAGTATAATGCAATTAATATTACAATAGAGAATGAAGATCAATTAAAATTGAAAACCATTTATTATTGATTTTTACTTATGTTACTGACTATTTCTCAGCTAATTTTCATCTCGATTCAATTAACTCCTCATTTTTTCTTAGTTTTAGAAGAATAGAAAAGGTTGAAGAGTAAATTAAATTAAGATTATAGTTAATCTACATTGATAGAAACGGGCATAAATGAAGTTTAAAACGTCTCGTTTATTTTTATGGCTTTTATAAGTGAATAAAATAAGTTAAATTAGTCATCCAATTTGGCTCGTTTTTATAGATTGATTTTATTTTATTTCTTAAGTAAGCAATTGTAGTTCATGTTGCAAAATAAGCGTGCCTTATTTGTCGAAATACATTTTGAAAATTTTGATAACGAATTTAAGTAACAGAATTTCGCACATGATATTTTATTTTACAACGCATTGTTATATTTCTCGGAAGCTTTTGTTTGAAATGTCCCGTTTATTTTGATGGCTTTTATAAGTGAATAAAATATATTTTATTAGTCATATTTAATTTATCTCGTTTATAGATTGACTTTATTTTATTTCTTAAGTAAGCAATTGTAGTTTATGTTGCAATATGCAAAACAGGCGTGCATTATTTCAATTTGTCGAAATACATTTGTCGAAATACATTTTGAAAATTTCGATAAAGAATTTAAGTAACAGAATCTTGATTGTACGTGATATTTCAACGCATTGTTATATTTCTCGGAAGCTTTTGTTTAAATGGTGTTGACTCACGCGCTCGACAATTATGGTTCCTACACACAGAATGTGGCAACGCGGCGAAAGTTGTCTTGCTCGGAAATAATAGATATATAATTTCCAACAAAAGTTGGATTAAGTTCAACGGCGGAAGTAGTATTATATCATTTTTAGAAGTTTTGTAAGGTGAAGGCGACTTAATTAAGAACATAAAATTATTGGCTAGTGTGATTTCCACCGCGCGGCAAATGTTGTCGCGTTCTGTGTGCAGGAACCATTACGTTCTCGCCATAACAATACAAGGTCAACGCGTCTCGAGCCATTTCCGTAACAGCGCTCGAATGGGCATGACGTAGTACGTCGATCACTCTGTGTTTGTGCTACGATTTCGCTGCGTTATTTCTCAAAACGCAATCGTTCCTTTCGAACAATTAATGAAGCCCTAGACAAAATGTAAGGTAACGGCGACAAGAACAGCGATAGGAATAGCATAGAAATAAGCGGTATATAATTCGTCGCCTCCCATTGCACAATGCCGTGAAAGAAATAAAAATGCCAACCAATCTGATTTCGTATATAGATCGTAATATTCTTCCATTTGTTTCAAGATTATAGCACATATAAACAGAATGAAAAATCTGATTGGTAGGTTATAAGACGATAGACACAAAATTGGAAATTTATCGCTATTGCCTTATTCTATGTTCCTGTGCATTTCCGTATTTTATTTCTTTTTTTATCATGTTCCTATCGTTAACATTAATCGCTATTTCTATCACTATCGCTGTTGCCTCGCATTGTGTTTAGAGCCTATTCTGTGCGATTAATAATGTGAGATAAAATGTGCTGTTCACTAAAATAGATACTAAAATTTATCTACTCGAAGTACGAGCTGGAAAACAAAGACAGAATAACTTAAAATATAATAAATTTAAGATTTACTAATTATCATTTCACATATTTGCAAGCGACGATTATTTTCCGCATAATGCTCATATTCGAATATCGTGATTTGAGATTTGCATCAATTAGAATGTAATTCGGTTATATTGTTTCCAGATTGAGAACATGAAACAAAGTACAAATCATCGAACAGTGAGAATCGCTTAAGCAATGAGAAATACATCGACCGATGCGAATCGGCTTCAAGTCGAGTGGCATCACGAACCATCGAATATGGTCGTGATTAATCGCGTAGGGTAAATTCAGTATCCACTCGTAGACGATTATAACCCTCTGCAATTTATGGTTTATCTGTTCCATTAATTTACGAGACGTTGCGGATATCAAACGAGTTCTAATTTCGCGATTGTATTAAGCCTGATCATAAGACACAGAACGCGAGTCACAAGCTTGTTGCATTACTGGATCTGCAATAGATTTTTAAATCTTAAGCTATAAGAAATGGACGAATCATAATTAATTATTCTTCTCGTATTTGACCGTGGTTGGTCAATTTCTTATAGCTTAAGGCTTAAAACAATTATTGTAGATCCAGATTTAGTCGATCCGATGCGTCAATTTTAACCCTCACCGTAAACGGGCGTCATTTGTGTGTGTGTGTGTGTGTGTGTGTGTGTGTGTGTGATATAATATAATTACGAATAATACAAATAAGGAAAGGAAACAAATTGATAAGTAGAAATTTTTATTATTTTAAATGTACATACATAACTATTGTACTATGGCATGAGTCGCCATAGTTTTACTATTATAAACTTTTTTCGGCAATTTGACTTTGGAATTATTCGAACTCGAAAATTAATGAAACGCATCATTATTTTACATTTGATGTTGTGGCAATTTTTCAATGTATCGCATTTAATGCACTGCACTTTTTCTTTTCTTCAAACAATTGATTAAATCATATTTTTCTCTCTGAAAATTTGTTTTCAGATATGAAAAACATTGCCTGATAACAATTTCCATCTTATAAAAATATTCAAATACTTCGTTGTTAAGAAAAAAAAGTGTATCATGTCTAAAATGTATTGCTTTACATGACAGATATAACGAAATCGACAACTATCGATAGAATCGATTTATCGATTTATCGCCGCCATTTTGAGCAGATGGCCAGTCTCTAGTGAAGGTCTCTAAGAAAACTGCGCAGAGACGACGCGGAAACAAAAGTAGGCGTGGTTTGATCAAACTGAACACATTATGTAATCCTTCCACTATGATCGGAAGTGTCGCAATGTGTAAAGTATCGCGCGATTATAGTTAATCTGTTATCGCGAGTGTTGTGTGAGTGTGGATCCTGACAACCTGCGAGAAGGAGGAGGCCTAGGAGCAATGGCGGAGCAATGGCGGGGTGAGTAAATTATTTTTCATTAATAATTGTTGAGTTTAGCCTCCTCACTTCCAATGTTGATAGAATTAGGCTCATTCAATGCATTTTTGCACAAAATGAACGAGTTTGGCAATGAAAAGTATCGCTCTGCTCAGCGGATCAAAGTATTAATTGTTAAAATTGACTATTCAGATTAGAAAATTTTTCATAGCGATGACATAAAGAGACACGTACGTGTGATTAAAATAAATATTTTCTGTTCCAAAATTACAAATTCTCTGCTTTAAAAGCAAATTCTCTACTTTAAAGATATAAATTATATTTAAAAAAAATAATTTAATTTGTGTTTTTAAAGCAGAAAATTTGTATTTTTAAAGAGAATTTATGGTTTTAAAGCAGAGATTTTGTTTTTAAAATAGAGAATTTGTATAACCCTCTATATGTCTCATCGTTGTGACAGATTTCCTTACCTGAACATCCGTAACTTTAATAATTAATATCTCGGTTCGCAAGGCAGAGCGATAATTTATTTTGCCAGATTCGTTCATTTCGTGCAAAAACGCGTCAAATGAACCTAATTTTATCAACATCGAAGGTGAGGAGATTAGACTGAACAATTGCCATAATTAATTATTTATGGAATCATAACTTTTTGATAATTGTATTATTACTTTATTAATATTTAACCTTTATGTAGATAAGTGTTCAGAGCACCCTAAATAAATTTAATTTTTATAGTTACATTTTTAATATATTTTTTAACAATATATATAAAGTTAAATTTACATTATTTATGTTTTTTATAAGACAGAGAAGTGTAAAAATAATTAATTTTAAGACTTCTGGACAATTCTTTTTATTTTTCTTTCTCAGAACAAGGTTTTTAAGATAACTATGCGAAGAGTGCTGTATACCTACCTATTTAAAGGTTAAATAGTCTCATTTGAAACGAAATACGAATAAGAAATTAAAGCACTTTTTGATATATTTGTTATTTCAAAAATAAAAATGTCTGGTTGAAAATGGACGAAACAGAAGATTTTGAATATATCATTCAGAATTCTGAGTATCTTAACTAGAATCAGTGGATTTAACCACATTTCAACTAGAATTCCAATTAATTCAACCAGACATTTTTTTTAGTAGACACTTTTAAATACTTTTGTGGCTAAGTACATTTTAGATATTTTTGTATTTTTTATCCTACAAATCTCTCTCTACGTTATAACTCCGCTATGCATTGCATCTGTGAGTGACAAATAATATTTTATTTTAATTGAAATCATAAATCTATGAGAAATGTAGATATCAGATATATATAAAATATAGAGATGTAGGTATCAGTATGTTAAAAACATATATATAAATCAATCTCATAGATCCATTTCCAGAGAGATGGGCTAAAATAGATTATTTATAATATTTAACTCTGGACTATGCATATTTTTCATAACATCTGTGCAAAGTTATTAACAATAAAATAGAGATCAGTAAATATATTATTTAACACACTATCTTATTATGCGAAATTGTACTTATTATTTTAATTACGGAATGCATAAATTGCTTGTAATATATAGGCAAATATATATAAACCCAAATATAAAAATAGAATAAACGTGATAGAAAGTAAAGATGATAATAGAAAGCTTTTTATAAAAAAGACGTAAAGCTAGTAAAGATACTATCTTCTCTTATATTTTTTGACAATCATTCTATGCAAAAGACAAAAAAGTAAGCTATGTACAATTAAAAATCTTTTGAATATAAACTTTCATGTTTTTCTCATAGAATATAGATAACGGAAATTTAATAATTTAATAAGATATTTATTGAATTTATATACAACAAAAAATAATTTCTTATAAATATAAAGAATAAAGAAAAATTTTTTTAAATATTCAATTAGTTAATTAAACACGGTATTTATTCCTCTTTTCCATTTTGAAATATTTTTTTAAATATAAAACTAAGTCTGCTTTTAATCCCTCTATATTTCAGAATTAATATTATAAACTAACATAATATCAAAGATATTTTTTATATGCATATATCACACATGCGAATGAAAAGAGGATATTTTACAGTCTCATAGAGACTGCATATCTTGATTAATTTAATAAATGTGTTAATGATTATGAATCCTACTTTTTTTAAGGTCAATATTTTTATTTTAACTTTTTATATTCTTTATTTATGTTTATTAATAATTTAAACTTATATAAAATGAAATGAGAACCAATAAATGATTTGTCGCGGAAAAAAATAATTTTTTACGTATATTATTTCTACATCGATAAATATTAATTGATCAAATTTTCAACATTAATTAATTTTTAGGTCATTAAAATATCGTATTATATCACTGTGGGAAATTCTGTGTGTCAGTATTTCATAGAATGCGCGAATACGAATATATTTGAATACGAATATATTTCTATATATGTATAATAACAACACTTAAGATTTATTACAACTAAAAGTTGTATTTTTATGTTTATATTGAATTGCATAACAATATTTATTACATTGTCAAAAATTCTATAATAATTAATAACAACAACAAAATTAATAACTAATATGGCATTTATTGTTTATATGATAAATATTGATATAACTCACACGGCATTTTGCACAAAAGACTATCGATTTTCGATTCAATTTGTTGCGAAATGTCCAATTAGTAATGATTACATTAGTTTATAAAATAATGTTTTTTTTTTAATTACTTGAATCTGCAGGCAAAATATTTCTTATAGATTTTTGAATACTAAAAACGATACCATAAAGTCAAATTTCATATTAGATTTTTATAACAATTTAAGTTACAAGTGTAACATATCAAGAATTTTTTTGCAATATTCAACTTTTTAATTAAAAAAAGTTTAACCAAATCATTTTGAAATTTGTCTCGAAATTCTGATTAGAAGTCGCGAATTTATTGTTCATTTCCTATAAAATGCATTTTTAATTTCAATACGTTATTATTTAATAACATTATTGTGTAGGATTTAAATAGAGTTTTTCTAAGGTATCCAATTTTCCATCTATGACGATGAAGTTATATTTATAATTTTTAGTTTGTAGCTATCGATATACATACACAATCATGCAATTACTTATTTTGTCTAAAAGTCTAAAATATTTTTTTAATGCGTTTTTCAAATATTCGAGATATTCGGTGTTTAAAATGGAGCACTGTATGTATATATGTACATATTTAGTACAATCTATCATAGTTTCTCTTTGTTTCCTATATAACATGATCACAAGGTAATAAAATTAAAAAAATGTATTTTATAGAGGCTGAACGTTCATAACTTTTCAGATAACGTCTTTTTGTAAAAAAAATGTCAAATATTTTAAGGAAGCAATTTTTTTGCAACATTAATTATTGCAGAAACCTGATATTAGAGAAGTTTGCAGCATCGTATTTTCAGCATTTAAAAATCTGTAAGAAACATCTAGTCTAGTAATTTCTTGCTCGATATTTAAAAAACATTTCATGTATAATTTTTATTATGCAGAAATATTTTTTTTACTTTATTTAGCTTTTCGGTTTCTTCACTTTTCCTAGCACTTGGATTTTGCATCGACAGTCTATAATTTACAAGTTAACAAGTCAAGTTAGTAACTATGAAGTTTGCATATGTAATTCGTATTCATTAGTAATTCGTATTCAATTGACTCAAACGAAGGCTAAAGGCCACGAGTTCAGAATATTAAAACTAATTCGTTTCTTCGTATTCACAAATTGTAAAACGGGGATTTTCCAATTGCGAATGCGATAAAACGTGAACTAACACGAAACATACATAGGCAAGTCCGTAATGCCGGCAATAATTTGCAAAGTGTCAACGGTAAAATCACTTAGGAGTTTAAATGAGAAACAGGTAACGTTTGGCGAAGCGTGTAAACGACTTTGTTGCCAGTTTGCGCGTTACTAAGCAGGCGATGTCCAGAACAGGAATTGGTTTGCCCAACATGTAGATTATTATAGCATCAGTGCGCACTGTAAGCGGAAGCATCCATATTAGCGGTAATCGTAATATTACGATCACGAAAATCATCGGTTGAATAATTCCAACCAACGTAACGGTGCATTAGTATCGAAAGAGATAGCGCAATATCACGCTATAACGAAGTAGCAGTATCTTTGCAGACGAGAATTTGTTATAAATAAATATGTAATTACAAATTTACATCAATCAAATATATAATTATTAGGTAGATTATATTATATTAATAGTATATTAGTATTAATATATATTATAATCAAATGTGTACTTATTCTATTACACAATATCATTTAGTAATAACAGTTAATTTTCATAAAAACAGTTATTAATTTCGATAAATATGTTGTTTAATGAAACTGATAACCTTAAGAACATCAATATAAAAGAGATTAAAGATAAGACTTTTTTTGCAGACGCGCAAAATACTTGTTACGTTATAGTTTATTAGATAAAATTGAATGATCAACAAATAATTCAAAACAAAAAAATTAAAAACTTTTATTTATTAATGATAAAGTTTATTTAAAAAATATTTATCATCTGATTTTATTTCATGTTTTGTTTTAGCTCTTTAATATTATTTATATTTATCATAATTTTTTATTGTATTTATTAAAATTTGCATGGAATAGCTAAAGATTAAAATCCAAATTTTTTAAATATGTAGTACATAAAAACATATTTTTATTATTGAATATTTTTATCGCATAAATTTATACGCAATAAGTAGAAGAACGCAAATTAGATTAGAATATACATATGTAAAAAGATTTTTATATTTACGCACTAATTTACTATGAAATCTTAAGTCGAATAATAGAAGTAATTACATTATCACAGATTGTGAAATGTTTAAGATTAATGGTCGCATACATCAAACGGTAAACGTTGACAAGTAGGCACAGGAGGCACCTCGCAAACGCATCTAACGCATATAGAATTATAATCTGAATCTTGATTCAATTCGTCGCCAAGTCGCATAACCATATTGCCAAAATGACAAACATCTTCGTCTGAAAAGAACAAGTCTCGATGAAATATCTGTTTTATGAGATAAAATTAATTCTAAAATATTAAACTCTTGAATGTTGTTATCGTATAAATTTGTAGCTAGCGGTAATATAATTTTCAATTCTCCTAATTTTTATTTTTTTTTACATTTCAATTTTAAAATGTAAAAAAATTCAAGATATATTATATATAAATAAATAAAATTGTTTTTTATTGACGAACATCAAACGCGGGTGTTAGTGATGTGTTAACTGACATGCCTATAACATAATTTCCTATGCTGGATAACGATGACCAAATTAATTATCATTTTATAGGATTGCGACAGAAATTGATTTGCGCGTTGCTTCTCGTGTGCAACATTTCTCGCAATTAACTCTCATTTCATGCTATTCATAGCACAGTTGTAATTAGCATCGCTTGAATCAAATGCGTAACGATATATCGTTTATGTTTCAATTCAATAAGCGAATTAAATATAAATCTTTGCGTTTTTCATTGAATCAATAATTAATAAAATTAATAAAAGATTAAGAGTAAAAAATCTTTAAGAGTATTAATTATTTTTGATTGTTGAAAGAATCATCATATCTCTATACAATAACTCATAACAATATTCAATATGAGACATACCATTTGGACTTGAGTGAGTCTTCGGATTCTCCTCGGTGTGAATAACAGTGTCGTTATCGTTTTCTAAAAAGCCATAATCATTAGTAAATAAATATGTTAATTGCAATGCCGTTATCGTTACCGTTTTCTTAAAAACCACCATAATTACTTAGATAACGCCTATATAGACATGATGTGCAAAATTGTAACTTGTAAACTTACGACATCTCGAAAATGCGTTGCAACTAGTAAGCGGCGATTGATTTGAGTAATAAACCGGAGCGCATTTATTAATAATGTCATATGAGTGACTGAACTCGGGATGACAATATGGACGCTTAGGCTTTACACAGAAAGGTTCAACATTTTCTCCTAAAATCATAATTTTTTATCGATGACGCAAACTTATGGTTATACTATATAGGTTTAAACTTGAAGTTTCTATTGTGGAATTGTTACTGCATACATTATTGAAATATAGATAAATGCAAATTTAGTTTAATTATTGTTATGACAAATACGTACATTTTATGATATAGGTACAACTGTTTAATTATTTAATTTAGTAGCTATTTGTTGATAAATAAACTAGTAAATTATTCATTAATATATTGCATCAATATAAGTTTACATAATACATTTATTTTATTGAAAATTGTTTATATTTGACATATTTATTATAAAGATTTCGTGCATTGCATGAAAAAATAAATTCCATGTATATTGAAAAATATTGAAAAATATTGAAAAATAACTCATTTTTTATATTGTGTCTTATCTTATGCTATAAATTAGTAATAGATGTATTTTATATATTATATGTTATGTCAACGTATTTGTCATTGAACAATTGAAATGACGAGCCTGAGATTATCTTTACCTTTGTAGCCCGGTTGGCATGTACAAATTAAATCCGGATCACTTTCGATACTGAAGAATTCTCCTTCCTTATATTCCTTTTCATTTACCTTACACGTAGCTCTAGCTTCGGGATTTTCAGCTAAAAGATGTAAATGACTTCATTTAAATATTATGCGTATTTTACGAGATAGAAATATCCTTTGACACGTGGATTGTTTTTGTGAGTCAAAGTAAAAACTTAATTATATACTAAAGCAACGTTATCATGACTATTTGACTTTCTAAAAAAAATCTATTAAACATATTAGCTAAAAAGCATATTCGAATGTAAAATCACGATTATTTAAAATTATCATAAGTTTTTAATCATAATTATTTTAATTGACAACACATAATGCAAATTTTATCCAATATTTAAATATATATATTACATGTAAAAATCGGAGTTCGCGGTTTATATAATAGTGTAGAATTTATGTCATATTGTAGAAAATGTCTAACTTTTAATTGGATTACATATGCTTACGACAAACTTCATCTCCGGGACAACACTTTAATGGGTAATTCGTTATGTAGCAACCTGGTTTTGGTTCTCCATGGAAACAGTCAACTATCGCGCAACTAAATGTGGCGCTATATTGTAACAAATTACGTAATTTTAATAAATGACACTTATTGATTTAGACATTAAATTGATTTAAACGGAGCCATTACAAAATTATTGATGTTGAGGTATTTACTTACATTCCTCCAGGTCCAATGATGCAGGTGCAACCAATGTCACAAGGATTCTTATCTTCATCTCTAAGTTCCTCTCCGATTTTGTACTGTTTACCATTGACGTAACACTTGTTAGGGTCTTTCTCTTTCAGATGATCACAGTTGTATTTTGTCGCGCAACAGTCACCTTCTTTTTCATACACTGGGCTACAACCGAGACCCTTGTAATACGCCAATGGACCCGGACACTTTGTTTTATCACATTTCTCTTTACAAAAAGATAAGACGAGAAGAATTTAGTACGATATATTATTGACCATGATAAACATGGATGTAAAACCATTGTTTTAAATGCTCACAATTAGAGTTCTGTCGTTATTCGCGTAACAGAATTTTAAGTGAGACAAGGAACAAATAGAATTATTCATGAAATCAAAGTTCGTATAATTACCGAAATTTGAAAAGCTTTTGAAAAAATATGTTATAAATACATTATCTCTTAAACTTTATTAAAATTAGTAAAAATAAAATTTTAATTAATGGGTAATAAAATGATTATTATATTAAGTACAATCAATTAATGAAATCACATTGTTATGTTAAAACATGTACTGTTAAATAATATTTTTTTGTTATTATAATAAATGTGTGTATCTTATAAACGCAATACAATCGTGAAGAACTTGCCGGTTACTTAATCTGAATTAAAACTTCACATTCACAACAGTTCTGACACTTGCGTGCTCTTCGCAATTTTGCCACGAAATCATTAACTCGTTGCATTTCGGAGGCACATTAAAATTTAAATCGAAAATAATTATTACCTCACGGTAGGATTAGGCAGATAAAATTAATATTCAAATAATTCTTTTTTTATCGTAATTTATTGTACGTATTTGCATCGTTTTTCTCCATTGTTTGCGACTCACCTTGATCAACCGCGACTGCGACAGCAACGAACGCCAGATAGGCGCATATCAAATTGAGTGAACGAGAACCACGACGTGTCATGTTCGAGCAACTCATGAAAACTTACGCGACTCGCGTCCGCGCTGCGTCATTTATACCTCGACCAGTCGCCAATCCACAGTCTGGAAGGGACTGAAAGTGGACACGCAAGAAAGACGGTGGATATATGAATGACGCAGACGCAGGGACACGATACAGGAAAAGGGGAAATACCTACGTACATTATGGATGAATGAATCAAAACATAGGCGAGAAAGAGAGAGAGAGAGAGAATATCTAGAAGGAAGAATATATAGAGGAATATATAGAGAAAATGCAAGTTAGAGGAGAATGAAAATGTGTATGAAAGAGAGTCATAAGCTCGCGTAAAGAAAAATCTGATAAACAATATAAGAAGGGAGGAAATACAAAGAACAGGACAAGAGGAAACGCAAACTGGAGAGCATAATTTGTTTTATCAGTCATCGCGCGTTGCGTGCTCATTTAAATTACGTAACTATTATTGTGTTGAAACAAATTATGCCTCTCGCCTTGAATCATTGCCTTGAATTTCTGTTAGAATGTCCCGCAATTTATTAAATTTTTCCAAAATTATTGATGTTTTTTTATTGACAGATATTTATCTACACACTTGGAGTAATCTCGTATGTTTGCAATGATACGAATAAAAAACAGAAGATATAACTTAGAATTTGTAATACCGTCATATAACTTCTTTCATTCAAAAAACATTTTTATTTTATGTGTAATATCTTTTATTAAAAAAAACGTTTTATATTATGTTGGATGATGGATATTAATAATTAATAAGTAATACATTTCTATTCTTGCAAATATAAATTTTTATTGTAATTTAATATTTTTAAAATATTCAAATAAGATAACAAGATTTTGCATCGTATAATGTACTAACTTCAATATTCTACAATTCATAACATTTCAGAAGGGAATAGAAATTTGCATTCATGTTTTTGCAGTGACACACGTTTGCAACTTAGTACGGGTAATATATTTCGCATATGCAATCAATACATTTGAGGGAAGTATCAAAAAATGGCGTCAGTTTCTCACCAACCCGTATCATCAAATTATCAAATAGACACATGTCTGAAAAAAGGAATATCAAATTATTATTTTAACAGAGTAGTTTTAACAGAGTAAATGTAGGTAACTTGGAACAAGTGTAAGTGACTTGGGGCAGCAAGTTTTATTTGTTAAATTCAATCATGGAATCCATCCATGAGTTCCTAAGGCCCAGTTCCACAACTCACGGTTAATTTTTAACTGAGGTTCAACTTATTCATTGTCTCTTTCCAATTCTAGAACCGGAAAGAAATGAGAAACAAGTTGAACCTCGGTTAAGAGTTAATCGTAAGTTTTTTTTACCATATAACCTTTAAAATAATAATTCATTGTGATAATTATTTAGAATACAGCCCCTCCTCTTACTTAAAATTTTAATGGGTCTTCCCATAAAAAGCAATCCTGTTTTGTAGATAGTATGGCAGGACATACAAAACTACGATTGCATTCACGCAGCACTATATGGAACAATTGTACTGTTTCAAACAAAAGAATTTAATGATGCTCGTATTATTTATGAATTATCTATAATCCATAAACATTTGATATTTTTATGAGGTATCTAATAGTTCATATTCATCGAAATGCATTTTATGATTTACAGATTTTGCGAAATGATTGTTTATGAATGAGAAATTTAAGTAATCTTCAAAGTAAATAAGTGACGTGTAACTAAGTATACAATAACTAGAAATCCGTCAAGTAACTATTAGAAAAAAAATCACGTTAAACATTTTACATTGACGTCAACAACTTCTTTATAATATGTGAATTATGTTCACATGTCTGTTCACACATGTTATGTTCACACATATTACCATGACAGAATAATCCCGAACTGTCGACGCGTATGAGAAAACGTGATGTAATTTGAATAATGTGACGCCGTACATGAATCTTTCATAATATCAAAAGAACATGCACACCCATACATACTGAACGACTGTATTAAATATTCATGATTGTTTCTCACAGAAAAAAGGAAGATCCTTCGGGTAAAATCATATATTAAGTTAAATTTATAAGATATTTGTTTTGTAAATGTCATTAATTGACATTTATATCTTGTGTCGTATGTAATTATATAAAAAATACATTTTTAAAATTATAGTGATTTAAACGTTTAGCTAATTTGTAAATATTTAACATTTTATAATTTTCGAAAAATTCTGTTTTTCTGTTTATCTCCTTTGCCATTTCCGGCTGGCTTTCATTCTCTTCTTTCGCGACTATTATTTATTTTTCTGAAAAGCAGAATGATGTTAAATATCTTGCATAATTCATATATATACATATTAGAACATCAGAAAACGAGTATTTATTCGTTTACGGTGCTTACAATATGTATAGATATTAATACTTTTACGTATAAAATAATAAAATGAATGAATCTATATAAAGAAAATACTTGGTTGTAGTTGGTTTTATAAAATTACGTAAAATGTAAAAAAAATTGTAAATTGCAAAATGTAAATTTTTTTCTAATTGCAAATTAAACTTTTTTTATAACACATATGTGAATTAAATAACAAAATTAAAATCATATCATGGATGGACCCAGGAATACTTCAGGATAATCTTCACACAAAAAAAAATCAAGAAGTTTAAACGAGTGGTAATAACAAGTATAAAAAATTTTTAACGAATGAAATTAATTTCATCAATCACATAAATTATGAAGTTTTAAGTCACGTCAATCACGTAAATTATAAAGTTTTAAGTAATCAATGTAATATTCTAATTTAATAATTTTAAATAGAATTGTTAGATTCCAAACACTGTTAAATGATTCAAACAACAAAAATGAGATATTGATTTTCCACAAATTACCGTAATCAACTGCGACAACGACGACGTTGAACGCCACGTAGCTTGAACAGAAATACTTTCTCACATAATTGAACACACGCAAATACGTTATAGACTTTGTAGTGTTTGTATTATATTTCTTAGATTATTATGACAATCGATAGAACGGCACGCGAGGGCAAGGAGGAACATATGTAAGAAGTATAAAAATAAATATAATATAGGAATTAATATAAATAGAAAAAGTAATACAGAAGACGTTATATATTAGGTGTTGGAATTAATTCGTAGCGTTTTTAATGAAAGAATGTTATTTATTTCACATGAGCATTAAAAAATACATTAATGAAAGTACTTCCCATCACTTGTAAAACGCTACGAATTAATTCCAACACCTAATACAATTTATATAAATATTTATATAAATATTTGTATTAATACTCTTTTGACCAATAATGAAAATTGAAAAGATATTTCTCAATCTTCAAAATTTGTACTTTTTAAATCTTTCTTTATTTATTCTTTTTTCTTATATTATAATAGATAGTTCAGGTTATATTAGGACGTTCAAAGGTTCGCGCCATTTTCGACGCTATGAGTTAGGGATTCGCCGAGGGCATTAGATATTTTTGCGATTTAGCGAGACGTTTTAGATTGGTGCGCGTGTTGTTTGACACTCTCTCTTTTTCGGCGCGAGAAATGTACTACGAACTATCTCACGGAAAATATATCGTTTATCCAAGTATCAGAGTATGTGGCTCTTTCATATATAACACTTTATATGTGCAATTATATTGAATAGGTAGTCGTAACAAAATTCTTGCATTAGTCATGGTATGATGCATCATTCATGAAAAATTAATTAACTTCGATGCTTCTATTAATAACATTAATGTTTTATAGGCATTTTGTAAGCAAAATGAAACTTGTTCAGAGTAATTCATTTAAGAGTGATGCCTATCGTTTTTCCCTTCCGGAAAAAGATACACACTTTATTTAAATGAAATGAGAAATGTTATGTATATTATAAACTACTTTTTCTGTATATATATTTAAAAATTTATTTTTATTTTAAAAATAATTTTATATACAGAATAGGCCATTTTAATCAATATACGAATATCTCGAAAAGGCGAAATTTTTTCAAAAAATGTTTTAAACAAAAGTTTTATGGTTTTAAGAAGGAAAAATGATGATGATCTTGATTTATCTTAACAAGAAAGCTTTAAGATTAGGTCCATAAAATTTTTTCAATGGAACCCTTTTAATGGAAATTTTTTTTAATGGATTTGCGTAATGCAAACGCTGGCACTGTAACTTTCATAACTCGAAATGTACCTAATGAAAAAATATTGTACTTTATTATAGTTTTGGAAAGCTCTTGAAATAAATTACAATTCACAATAAAAAAATAGAGGGTTCCATTAAAAAAATTTTATAATTATTTTTAAAAATTTTATGTAAAACGGACTTGATTTTAAGGACTTCTTATCAAGGTGAACCAAGGCCACCGACTTTTTTCCTCCCTTGAAATCATAAAACTTTTGTCTGAAACATTTTTTGAAAAAATTTCTCTTTTTCATATTCATGTGTATTGATTAAAATGACTTATTCTGTATAACTACAATACTATTATTATATTAGAATCAGTTTTAAATTTCAGTTATCATTATAAGTTAAAAAACATTATTTGTTTTCTATGTTAATAGAAAACGCGCAAATTTTTTCGCGGACTTGCAATATAAATTAATATTTTGTAAAAGTTTATCAATTGATTAGTTTTTTAAAGAAATTAGTAATGATTACATACGATAATAATTACATACAAGATATAACTGTAGGAGATAGTTATTATTATGGTTAACCGCACAATTGATATTATCTTCATGCGTAAAACGCATATACATCGGTCATGTGGAATAATCTTCGTATGAGACATACATTCGGATGAGCTATACTTAATGATAATATATCGCGATTACTAGGAACAGTTATGCGATCTTGAATTGTTGCAAATTGAAGATTATTTCTCGGTAAAGCAATATACATTCTTATTATATAAGGAATATATTTACCTATATTTCAATGATATGAAGATTCTGAAGATACAACTTAAATTTGTAATGTCGCCGTACAGTTTCTTTTGATAAATAGATATTTTATTATATTAATTGGGCAATGTATATTAATAATTAATAAATAATATGTCTATCCTTGCAAATATAAATTTTTATTATAATTTTATTAAATTTTTACACAAATCTTTAAGTTTTATAACAAGACTTTGCATTTTACAGCAAAAATAATAATCTAATACATTATAAAATTTTTCATAACGCTTAGAAATAAAAAATCTTACTCTCTTACCAGAACTACAAGTATTTTTTAATATACATATACACAAGTTAGTACAGGTGGTACTTCGCAAATGCAATCGATTTTGTCAATTGAAGATGATTGTAATCTGTCTCCAATGTGCAATAGCAAATTACCAAATATGCACATATCTGAAAAAAGGAATATCAAATGAATCATAATATATTTTCTTAAAATATGATAAATATTAATAGTACGTCAATTATTTTATATAACACACTTTTCTGCATTCAGTAAATTGGATGCGCAATGAAGTGAGTTGTATTTTGTAATTAGTTATCATTTTATAGGATCATAATATTAACGTGCTACAGAAATTGATTTTGCGCAGTACTCATTATCCATATGCAATGTTTGTCGCAATTACCTCCTATTTGACGCGATTCATAATACGGTTGTGTAATTAGTATCGCTTGACCATTCAAATACGTGTCAATACCTCATTTTATATATCTTACATATTCATATGATTACCGAATGGTAATTTGTCGTGAAGTAATAAATTTTTTTCTTAATATTGCGATCCATAAAATTAAAGAAAATATTAATAAAGAACGAATTTAAACAAATAAACATGAAAAAAATTAATTTCTTTAGCTTTGCTAAAGTACGCTAGCATTCATTTTATTTTTCATACAACATAGATAATGCCAATTTTCCAAGTTATTAACGTACTTTAGAATTTGAATTAAATAATGATTCGAATGATTGTTTGTAGAAATAAATATAATATAAATTGATAAAGAAAATATTGCTTACGTTTTAAAAGAAAAATTAAAATGTATGGATAACAAATTGTTCATATCATTTCAATGCCATGCGAATGTTATGTATATACTCTAAATTTCTTAACAAATATAAATGAAATAATTTTTTTTATCAAACCGACATAATATTCCACGAATGCATATAAGATATTACAAAATAAATTTACATTTAAAAATAAATATAAAACTTACTACTCCAATCGTCATCCATTATAAAAGGTAATTGTTTAGGAATGACAATGTCGTTAGAAACTTCTGAAAAATTCAACAAAAGTTATGGGAACACGGCGATGAAATGTATATTGCATTCAAATTACAAACTTACGACATAACATCTTCACATGACACGTGTCCTTTTCTGTGTAATTACTAAAAACTGGAGCACAATTTCGATGAAAATAATCTTTGTGACTGAATGCAGGGTGACACGGAGAATGGTTAGGCTTGATACAGTAAGGTGGAACATTTTTACCTAAAATTAGAAAATTCCCAGTTCTAATAGGTATTACGTATATTGATACTTTGGAAATTATATAAATTAACTGTTCGGTGTCACTTTCTATCATTTTGTTACTTGTTTATCACATGGTATTGTATGAAAACATCATATAAAAATAAATATATAACAAAACATATATATTTTTTCAATCGAAACGTCAAATACTAAGGAACAGTAACAAGCAAATATATGTATCTTTATTAATTAAAAAGTTTCAGCATATAAAGTGAAACAAATCTCTATAGAGATAATGGCCGAAAGGTTAAAAGCAATGTAAATTTATTTTATGATAACAATTAACTTATTATTACCTTTGTACCCTGGTTGGCAGATACAAATCAAATCGGGTTCTTCATCCACTTTGAAATATTCACCATCACGATATATATGACCATTTACATTACAAACAGGTATATCTTCCGGTCTTTCAGCTAAAACATTTAAGAAGCATTACTTATACTTTACGATTATACTTTCTATTATAGTTTTATTTAATTATACGTGTGTATGTATTGATATGATGACTAACCGGTTAACTAACTTAAATAATCAAATTTTTATATTATATTTTATAATAATAAAATATAATTGTGTTGTAAGTTAATAATATATATATATATATATATTTAATGAAAATAATTTTTACATAATAATTAACTATTAAGTATTATGAATATACAGAGTATATAATATAGTATATAAGTATATATATGTATGTTTTTCAATTAAGAATGTACTTACGACAAATTTCTATCGGATTTTGACAACATATTGTTGGGTCTTGCCGTAAATAGCAACCTTTTTTTATTTTTATCTTGATACATTGAAAATAGTTTGTGCACTGAAATGCAGCACTATGTGCAAAAAATTGCAGTTTAATAAAAAAATTTTAATGATCTTTACATTTTCTATAAATTAGCTGTAATTGATTAAACATTTCATATTTGTACGTAAGATTAAATACATTTTTTAAATCAAATACGTTTTTTTATAAACTTTGCATTGTAAAATGATTGTTTACAGAAAAATTTCGATACAAAGTAAATAAATGACGTGTAACTGTTCGATAATCAGAAGTCTATCAAGTAGCTATTACAAATAAAAATAAATCGCTTCAAATATGAAATGCATAATATGATAATATGTAATTTAAATTAAATAACATCATCTCGTCTGAAATATGAAATGGATAGTAATATTTTTTTGAAAAATTATTATTAATAAGTAATTGATATAAAGAAAATATTCAGCTATTTTTACAAAAATATATAAAATTGCATATTGCAGAATGTTCTCTAAATATAAAATTTAGTTTTTTTATGGCATATATAACAATAAGTTTAAAATCGTGATATATGTGCATGTGTGTATGTTATTATTTTCTTTAGCTATTTTATCTTTATATAATTTATTCATAATATATGGTCTAACAATAAATCTCATAAATCTTGCTCGATAGGTTTTATATATATATATATATATATATATATATATACACACACACACACACACACACACACACACACACACACACACACACACACACACTATTAATTATTAAAAATAATGCAGCTGCTTTACGGGGTGAAATAATTTAATTTATTTATTTAGATGTCATACTTACATTTGATTCTGGTTAGATGAGTTTGTGCAAATGCATGAGGTATCGCAAACGTTTGAATCTTTAGGGTAAAGTAATTGTTTAGGTTTATATGCACGACCGTTGATGTAACACTTTTCCTTAGATCTTAGTTTGATATGGCTACAGTTATACTTTTTCGGGCAATTGTTCTCGTCGTCGTATATTGGCGTGCACCTGAGATTCTTGTAATATGTCAATGGACCCGAGCATTTAGATGTATCTTTACGGAAAAGAAAATATTTAAAAAGTTGTTAACAATTTTATAAACGAGTGAAATTAATTCAAATCACATAGATTTTCTATTTTTTCTAATACTAATTATATTATCAGTTTATCGACGTAATATTTGACTAATCTTATATGGAAGTATTATGTTCTAAAAATAGTTAAAACATAATGACTCAAGCGATAGAAAATGAGATATTGATTTTTCTTTACGATTTACCTTGGTCATCTGCGACAACGGTGGCGAACGCCACGTAGATGCACAATTGAACACAAATACGTGTGATTCCCATGATCGAACACGCGTAAATACGTTATAAACTGCGCATTACATTACTTATACTGTTGCGACTACTAGTTCGAAAAAGGATGGAGGGTGTGAAGGGACATACATGAGAAGTTTAAAAATAAATATAAGAAAGGAGTCTAAATAGAAAACATAGTATAAAAGGATGTAAATGTTGTATACAATCCACATAAATATTTAATATTATTAGTATTATCATATATGTTTTGAAAACAAAGAATAGTGCAAAATCTTTGTTTTTAAAATCTGTAATTTTAAAACTTCAATAACCGTAAATGCGTGTTAAATATTTAATTGCAATAAAATTCTCATATTACTGTAATATAATGCATCATTTATAAAGAATTAATTAACTTCGGTGTCTTAATTAGTTGATGATTTTATAGGCAAACCAAATCCCATTTAATGTTATTCATCTAAGACTAAAACTTACATACTGGAAATTGTTTGCTCTCCTAAACAAGAATATTGTTTAAATTAAAAGGCGATTTTTATATACGTTAATAATGATGTATAGTTTTCGTGCATATATTCATTATTTTAAAAATTAAAAATTCAATTTTATATTTACACATATTGGAATTAACTTTCAAATTTCAGTTGCAGTTGGAACGCTTATTTTTTTACGTTAATAAAAAACGCGCGAATTTTTCCGCGAATTTGCAATAACAAGTCAATATTTTAAATTTAATCGTATAATTATAATAGATTATTCTTTTGCATATCCTTGATTGTGAATCTCCTCTGCAAATGTCGTTGTCGTTATTAATTAATTCATGATGAAGAATCAACAAATCGATATTGGTTAAACAATTTATATGTGTATGTACAAAAAAGTTGTCATGTATGATACATTTAGATCTAATTATAGTTGCAATAATATACTACAAGAGAGATAACTACAAGAGATAGGTGGCAAGGCTAACCACAAAATTATCTTCATGTATAAAACGCATGTACGTTGGTACGAAATAATCTTTCTACGAGGTACGGATGAGCTATATTTAATGAAAACTATTTCTCGGCAAAACATTGTATATTTTTATCACACGGAAAATATTCACCAGGATTCTTGCAAAAGTTTTTGCAAATTTTATTGTACCTCTATATAATTGTGCATCATTTGCATTAATTTATTGATTTCATTATGCTTTATTGATTTTATTTATTGTGCTTATATATATATATATTCATTTATTTCAATTATTTAAAGTATTAAAACTAACATTGAATCGTAAATCTAACATAATTATTTCCAAAATAAGTCATTGTGTTTAATAATATTTTTTTATTTGATAAATGTAGCATTCTTTTTTTGCATATAAAATAAATTGAAAACTTCATCTTGATATATACGATAGAAAAACACATTTTTTTTATTTCATTTTTAACAAAGTTGTCTGCAGACATTCTGAAAGTGTAAATGATTTCGCGCAATTCGTAGATAATTACATTAATCATTCAGAAAAAAATCTTAGAAAATAAATAATCTTTAGCAACGGTTTAAAATAAAGATTATATATGCCATTACATAAGTTAAATAATTAAGAAAATAATAGTAACGCTTTCGTCGAAAAATATACATATACTTTAGATGAATCATGTATTATCTGGACCGAATATCATAATATCTTTAATGTATTATCATTTTGTCGGAAAGCACTTACTGAGACAAGAATTAATGGCGCAAACGTGATCTCGCATACGCTAAGATAATAATTAATCGCGAAGAAACGTGCGAAATCGAATGAACGTGTCAAATGAATTATAGGTAAAATAATTTTACGATAAAATGTTGCTAGTCCCCTCTCAGATATTTCATCTCAGCAAAATATTTATTGTGATGCAGCACAATAGCATTTAAATAAGTCTTGAGTACAAATTAGGAAAGGCAAGACGGACGGACGAAGTTTCCTGAGATTTTGAGGGAATGATCCACGGAGGATCACGGTATTAATTCTCCATTCGAAGTGACACTCGAGACGTAACGCCGTTAAACGCGTTACTGTGTCAGTCGTATGGTATCACGTAAATCACTGGCGAGAGTACTCCCAGAACCAGCTCATAACTGCGAATTTACTACACGCTGCCCGCCAGTACGTTACTCGTACCTCGGGCTGAATGTTCGCCATTACACTCGGTTACAGCGGGTTGGCCGATGTAAGCCGAATAAGTTCACCCGCTTGGGAAACTGATTTATCGCGTTCGAAGGATTGGGTCATTAGTCTTATCCCCGTAACTAATGACTCAATCTCGGTCAGCCCCCTCGACTGCGGATTTATCGACCTACAGATCGTACGATTGAACTGAATATTTCCATGGCGGCAGTCGACTCGAGCGAATATAAATCCGTGTGAGGAGCTCGAATCAGCAAGAATCTTATCGCGAATGCGTAGTTCTCTCATTTCGAATAGCTCGTTGATGTAGTAAAAATTAGTCCGTATAAATATCGGATTAATTACTATAATTCTTCTAATTATGAAATGAGAGATATAACTGTCGAATCTCATTTTTTAAATTATAATTTTTTTAATTATAACTTTTAAATGATAACTTAAATTATGTTTTCAATAGGTGCCATTAATTAATTAAGTACACAGAAAGAATTATGTTAAAATATCTAAAATTTTATTGAATACAGAAAATAATTTTATTGGACCATCAAAATAATTTTATTCATACTGATTGTTAGAATGTTAAAATTTTTTGCAACTTTGTCCATTATTTTTTAGTTGACATCATACCTAAGTGTTTCGATGGTTTAATAAAATTATTTTCAGATCTGTAGATCTGTGTTTTATCCGTGTAAGACCAATAAAGCAACAATCATTTTCCGGTAGGAATTAGATAAAATTTAGATGAAATAAATTTAATCAAAATATATTTATATGTCAGCTAATTTACAGTATTTAATTAATTAATTTAATTTATGCTAGTTAAAAAAATAATGGAGTTGATACGTCTTGAAATAAAAAATTATTAAATTAAAATCAATTGTTTACGTTCGCTATCTCAGGCAAGATAAGATAATTTTTATGTATTTTCGCTGATATTTTTAATATTTCATACACAAAGTTAATGTTTAAGCGAACTTTGAACGAAATTTAATATCACACGATGCATCACGTATACTTGCGCACTGAAAAGATAAAGCGAGAGGACTTAATATTCTTCATTACTTTAGTTTACTTTGCGAACGTAAAACAGCTGTAATTCAGTCTTTATTAACACGACATGGCTCCTGAGTTTGTATTAGGTGTTGGAATTAATTCGTAGCGTTTTACAAGTGATGGGAAGTACTTTCATTAATGTATTTTTTAATGCTCATGTGAAATAAATAACATTCTTTCATTAAAAAACGCTACGAATTAATTCCAACACCTAATACATTTATTAGTAATTCGATACATCTTGTTCTCGGTGTCGGCGAGATAATTAATTACCAGTTAAAGAATGACATAATTTTCATCTAATAATGCTATATTCCAAGAAAAGATAAATGATAATTAACGAAACATTAATTAGAACTTTGCGCGTACGAGAGACGTCTGATAAATTATATACACATTCAGTATACTTAGTTACAATAAAATAAGATCCTAGTATAAATAAAATCCTGTAATATATTTGATTAAATCCATATCAATTTTTAATAGATAAAATAAAATAAAATAGATATTTAAATTGTATATAAATAAGTGTATGTTTCTTTCTTAAATCAATTATATCATAAATATTATAGAAAAAGAAAAAGTATAATCTGTTGAAAATTAAGAAATATGTCGTAAAGTTTGAAAGATAAGAAATCAAAGATAGAGAATAGAGTAGAAAGATTTACTGATATTTGATGTCAAAAGTAATATCACATTTAACATAAGTGGAGAGGAAGCAAAACAGATATACTAGCAAATGTACGCTGTTCCGATAAAAAGATAAAAATAAAGCAAAAGCGGAAGCGAACTGAAATATGCACGAGATGATGAAACTTGAAAATGTCTGTCGGCATCTCGAAGCTTTCAATGTTGAGAATTTCACGAATGGTACGCTCTCATTTTCGCGTGAATACTTTCAAATCATCATCTATTGAAGTTTCTATCAGTTGTAAGTGCTTGTAACGATTTATTGCACATGCAGAAAAAGAAGTGCGCGCATTTAAACTTGTTTCAACTATTCAGAGGAGAGTTCGTAATGTTTCTCACTTGGAGCGTTCGTAAATAAATGCAAAAGGAACTGCATTAAATTGTAAATTAAACAATTTAATTATGATATAATTAACAATTTAATTATGATATAATTAATATTACAATTAAATACATTAAATATATTCTGTTGTGATTTATAAAAAATAAATAAATAAATGAAACTTGTATAATGCAGATGTAAATAATATGTTCGAATTATAAAGTAGAAATCGAAATTTTTTATTTCCAACATTTACTGATGTGGAAAAAATTCGATAACGATTATATGACAGATAAAACATGAATGAAGACGAAATTATTTATCGGTTCAGTCACGTAGAATTTTCACAGATTACATGATTTGGCTAAACCATATAATCCTGTAGCGATAAGCACGAGAGATAAAGCCAACATCGCTTTTATTAAACTAACCAGTTGGAATCATATATCGTACGTGAGTTTCATTTTTGTTTCATAGTATCTGTCGTTGCGTATTCATGTATAATATAAATATCTACAAAACAGAGAGAAACAAGAAATTATGTTATTTTTCTTTGACATATATATATAAAACATCTATTATCGCAAATCTAGACGGAAATTCGGAGTATACCGTCCCATGTTATCCCGCGCTTTTCGAAAAGCCATGATACTTTAGAATATTGTACGCCATAACTGGTCGTGGTTACGGCCAGAACGAGGGTAACTAACATAAATTCGGTCAACTTAACGCTGCAACACTTTACGGTAACTCTCTTAGTTAGTACCGCGTTCCCCCTCCTCAGCCTTTCTCTTCCCTGGCACCTCGAGGCTGCACAGCTTCCGGAAACTTGCGAAATTCTATGGTAAGCATTGCACAAATTCTCGGGGACGATATCATGCTGTAAAGAAGTTCAAATCGACGTTATCATTACTTGCTCACAGACCTAATCGCGAACATGTGAGAGTTGGAATGATAGGGAAACAATCCTTCAACTGTCGT